ACATTACAACGGGGTATGAATACGTGTAGCGGCCGACCGCCTGACAACGGCTGCAGCAACGCAAACACGACGGAGCAGCTCATTTTGATGCAAATGTGGCGCCAAAACTTGCCCGGGATAATTACTCGTTCCTTTTTTTTGCAGAGCGTGCTGCCGGTGGGCGTGGCAGGGCGTGGCGGGGCGTGGCGGGGCGGGGCTAGGCGTGGCGTGGGAGACGGAGAGCGAGCGGGCAGAAGCTAGACCAGTGGCAATTAAAAATTAAAAATCGAGTGGGAAAGAAACGCAAAAAGTAGAGTTCTCTTGGTTCGTCCGGCCGGCCAGCCGGCTGTGCGGCTGGGCCCGAGATGCTACACACACACACGTGGGCATCGCATAGCCGCGGCCAATCCCCCGGAATAAATTGACAAGGCGCGCGTTAATTTGAACGCGGAGCCGCTCCGTTTGAAATTGACGTCTTTACTCAACGCGCGGCCGCGCGGCCACGCCCGCCGCTTCTCCTTCCGAAGATCCTGCGGGCCGCCCAGTGATCTCGTCATGACTGCAGACTGATTCCGAGAGTCGTTTTCGTCGCGCTGTCTCTCTCGCACCCGTACGGGACACCCCACGAGTGCGAGAGAGACAGGGCGACTCTCAGTCAGCTGGACCGCCTCGCGGTTCGCGGCGGCCCGCGGTTGCCGCGACGACCCAAAGTCCGCTACATAATTTCGACCCTAGCATTTCCTAATGTGCCATCCGCTAAAAGAGATGGCCAGGGGCGGAATCGGGCGGTAATCACGACCATCACGGGTCCCGGTGGTCGCGGCCGTCCTGGCGAACAGTGCCTCCGTCGCTCCGTCTCTCTCGCACTCGCGGCCGAGTCGGCCTGTTGAGGCGCGCTGTGGCTCCAGCGTGGCTCCAGCGTGGCTCCAGGCAAGCGGGCCAGGCTACCGAGGCCTTCAATCAATCATGGGCACTGTAATATCGGGCCTATCGGGCCAGCTTATCCGGGCATGGACACTAGGAGGGCCGCGGTCCTCAAATAACAGCACCCGAATCGAAGACGCGCCGGATCGATACCTCGTTCGAAGGGCCTTCCCTTCCAGTGGCGCGGTGGCGTCGAGTCCCGCTGCAGTGTGGCGGAAGTCCTGGACACTGAGCCGCTCGATGAGCCGCGCGTCATGGGCCGGGACGGCATCGGGACGCATTAGGGCGGGGCGGGGCGGGCGGGCGGGGCGGGGCGGGCGGGGCGGGGGGGGTGGGCGGGCGGGGCGGGGCGGGGCGGGGCGGGGCGGACACGCGACTCGGTAATGATCCGCTTGGGAGAGCGGCCGGCCCAGGCCGGGAAGGTGATCGCTTTTTAACGTCTGATTTATTTCCACCTGGACGACTATTTGGGCCGGGTTCTTCTCCGGGCTCCAATAAACCACATCTTTAGCATACCTCCGGCCGGATGGGCGGGCAACAGCCACTCGCTCGGCCCGCTGGACGCCGCCGAGGCCCTCGGCCTGCTGACTGCCCCCTCGAGGATGCCCCGCCCCGCCCCGCCCCGCCCCGCCCCGCCACCCCCGCGTTCAACTAGCCGCGTCGAAACGAGAGCGGGGGTGTGGCCGAGGCCGGCCGATGCGAGACGAAGGCGCGATCACGACGCGCGCTGTGTGCTTTAAAATTAACGCCGTTCCTCTGGTAATTTACACCGCTTTTGGGCGGAAGCCTTGGCTACGCTGGCCGTCTTGGCGGGGCCGGGGTGAGGGCAACGAGGCGCTGCTCTCGGTGCTGCTGCTGTTGTTGTTGGCGAAGGGTCCTCCGCTCCCCTGGGGCCGATGGGGGGCTTTCATCGTTGCCCCCAATTATGGAAATGCTCCCCGGACTTATCCGGGGTGTCCATCGCCACAGTCCGGGTGTGAACACCGCGCATCTACAAGTGCGTGTCCACCGCTCTAACGTTCCCGCGCCCAGATTCTATCGCTTCCCCTCGGGAGGGAAAATAAATAAAAGCAAATGCTCTAACTTAGCAGCGGCACAGTGCGTCAGAGGACCTGCGCCGGCGGTCAAAACGCGTCTAGAGTTTTGACCGCCGGCGCCGGTCTTCTGGCACACTGTGCGCCGTGACAGTGAGGTTGCCCCATCTCGGAGCAGTGACCTTGACAGGGCCGCGTCAGAACCACCCTCGCTATCGGCAGGCAGGGCCGGCGGGTCCAAACAACAATTACCTGGATGGCAGCCCTTTTATTTCCAATCTCCAAATTGTATCTCCCGGGGCGCGCCTGGCCGTGCCCGGCCGTGCCGCTCGTGCGTCGCCGCGTCCCTGCTGCACCGATTCCCCGATAAGTCTAATGAATAGGTCTCGGTACGGGGCGAGGAGACGAGACGAGGCGTTCCGAGAACCCCGAACCTCCCGACAGCCTCGACGACACAAATTTTCAGACTCGTGTGGCCGTACCTCGTCAACAACGAGCAGTGAGTGCTCACGACGGGCCGCGGCGCCTCCAGGTCATCCAATCCGGCGTGCTACATAACAACATTGCAAAACGTGTCCTTTTCGCCATCGACATACAGTACTGCGGCGCGGCACGTATGCTAAGTGTCCGAATGCGCGCGCCGCAGTGCTGCGCAGTGACGAGTCGAGCAACCCGCGAGCCGAGCGCAGCCGCGCAAGGCAGCGTGTCTGCTGGAGCGCGGAGCCGAGCCGGGGCACTGACGCAACACTGTATGCTGTCAGTGGAGTGTCAGTGGCGCCGGCGCCAGTGCGGCAGATGAAGCACCGCCACTCCAGCGGAAGGGTTAGTGCAGGTAATGCGAGGACGCGCCAACCCCAAGGCCGCTCCACCATCCCACCCCAAGGCCAGCAAGGAACCCTTGCCGACGACGCGGGGGTCTACAGTGGGCTAGGCGCCAGGACGGGGCGGCCGTCGGCCATTGCACACGGCGAGGCCACAGCCCGGCCGGCCGACGACCCCAGCAAACAATGGGGGCGACTTTGACGCAAAAATTGGCTGCCGATAAAAGATTGGAAAGGTCGTTTTCGCCCGGCGCTGCGTTTTTTATCGCCTCACTGTTTGTAGCGGGCAAACTACTGTACAGTGCAGCGGCCTACAGTGCAGCAGCCTACAGTGCAGCGGCCTACAGTGCAGCGGCCTACAGTGCAGCTGGCCGGACGGCGTGGCGCGGTCATTCGTGACTTATGTCCCCATACACTGGCCGCGTGGATAATTTTGCAATTGTTCCAATGCCAACGAACGACGTCGCCTGTCGCAAGCCCCGCCCACGGGCGCGCCGGCCGCGCTGCCCGCGCTCAGGGATTACTCCAGGGACTGCTTGAAATCTAACGAGGCCTGCCGAAAAAGAAACAAGCCCGCGCTGTAATCCCACACTGAATGAAGGAAATCCCTGGCAGGCCCGCCTGCGACATTCCAGCCTTGACGGCCATCGTCCTACCGGTGTGTCCTACCGGTGTCCTGCAGGACTCGGCGGACAATGAGCAGCTCCATCAAACGGCACTAGGCCGATCGGCGGGGGCCTTCAGGTCCTCCAGGTGCTTCCTGTCTCCCTCGCACCCCTACGGACGGCCCACGAGTGCGAGCGAGATAGCGCTGTGCGGGACCGGCCCGCCCTCCCGTGCATCCAAATCGAAATCCCCGAGGCGTGTCTGGCGTAGTCTCGCGGGAGGCTCTCGTCCTGAAGGCCCTGAAGGCCCTGAATGTCCTGCGTGTTTTTACTGCTTGCGTCAGCCTGATCCCGGCGGCTAATCCCTCGGGACGACGAGAATGGCAGGGCCTGGCTGGCTGGCCTGGCGGGGACAATCCGGGACCACTTCCAGTGAATGGCGCAGCGGCGCAGCACTGCTGCAGATGGGAGTCCAGTGACGCCGGAGTGACACGGAGTGACGAGGAGGAGACGACCAAGTGACGAAGGAGTGACGCCCAAGTGACGACGGAGTGACGAGAAGGAGACGACGGAGTGACGACGGAGTGACGAGAAGGCGACGGCGGAGTGACAACGGCCTGAGTCCTGCGCGTGGCGTGACGCGGTGATTAGCGGCGAGTGGCGCGGTGAGTGACGGAGTGACGCCCCCGCGCGGCGTGACAGGGGCGTCGCGTTGCGTCACGCGGTCAGCCGGCGCCGTGGTGCTCGCCTCGCTCGCCGTTTTCGCCCGTCATGTGATTTCGCCTCGCCCGCGGGCCTTCTTCCGGCCCTGCCTGTCCGGCCGGCCGGCACACGACTACACCGCAAAGCGACGCCCAGCGCCGCCAGGGGGAGAAAGCGCGCCGAGAGCGCCTTCGCCGTCAGCCCTGCCGGCCCTGCCTTCGCGGAGGACGCGACAAAGTGGCGGCCGCTGGAAAGCCACGACGCCGTCCTCGGAGACAAGGCGGTGCGGCGGCCACTTCCGCCTCCAGCGTGGCGACAGCGGCGCTGTGACGACGAGGTGCTGCGAACCGCACAGGCGTGTCGCGTGAGGGAGAGCCCGGCCAAAAATCACTTCGGCAGCCCTGCGCACTCCCACACACGCACGCAGGCAGGGCAAGGCGGCAAGCCGGGCTGGCAGCAACCCCTCCCCCGCACGCACGCAGTGCACGCATCGCAGGCAGGTAGACGGCATTCCTGCTTCACCCCTCAGGTGTGAGGGCCCCGCCGGCCCCGCCCCGCCCCGCCCCGCCCCGCCCCGCCTCGGGAGAGCACCTACCTACCCTCCAAAGGACTCTTTGTGTATTTGCTCTGGGCCCCTCGGGCAGGGCCCACGGGGACTTTATTCTTGAAACACCGGCCGGTGTCTGTGGGTCACCGTCAAACGACGACGGCGACGCCCCCCCCCCCCCCCCAGAGTTACGAAACGCCTGGATATCGTATCGTCTTGCAATGCAAGCGCTGATGGAGCCGGCTAAGCCGGACTAGCCCGAGGGCACCGAGACACCTGTAACCGGTACCATACGGCCTCTCTCTCTCTCTCTCTCTCTCTCTCTCTCTCTCTCTCTCTCCCTCTCTCTCTCTCTCTCTCTCTCTCTCTCTCTCGAAAGGATACTCACTGTTCTTGTCTCCTTGCGGCGTCCTGGAGCCGCCAGTGAGAGGGCGGCGGTGCTCCTCGTCGGTCTCCATGGTCACCATGGCCGAGACGCCGAGAGCGACGCGAGGGTCTTGTGGGCGCTCGGCAGCTGCTCAGCAGCCCCTGCGCCGACACAGACGCGACACAGCGGCCACACTCACTCACACTCACGCGCGGAGACTGCCACGCAAGGGGCTCACAAGAGATCACTGGTGCACTGAATCACTGGCCGGACACATCGCTCACTCTAATCACTCACACACACTGACACTGCACACACATACACTCATCCCACTGGAGGGATTCTTGGTCCTCCCGGACTGCTGGAGGGTAGGGTGCCCATGGGGCCGTATCCTTGGTAATCCTTGGAATCCTCACGTGCGACCGCGGCTCGCTGGGTGCGCGACGGCCCGGCGTGGATCGAGCGTCCTGCGTGCGCGGAGCGACCTGGCCAACTAACCTAACCTACGAGTCCTGCGCGCCGCCGCCGCCGCTTCGGGACGTTCGGGACCCCGAGGACCTCCCCCACCTCCTCAGGCACTCGGCTCGGCTCGGCGCAGTTCCCAGGTAGGCAGGGCTCGGCTGCGCTCGCTCGGCTCCGCTCGGCTCTGCTCGGCTCGCAGGCTCCGCCGCGCTCCATCAGAGGCAAACACAAAACACGAGGAAAGGTCCGCTGCGCGCGGCGCGGCGCGGCGCGCAGTGCCGGTCGGTCCCAACGAACGCTGCCGAGCAGAGCCGAGCGGCGGACCGAGCCGCGCCGAGGCGGGCGGGGGAGCCGAGGCTCGAGCCGAGGCCGGGCAGCCGAAGACGGCCGAAGAGGCGCGGCGCGTCCGGGGCGCAAGTCAAGCCCTCTCGCTCCCTAGGGCTCTACCTCCACCCAGAACAGCAACATGCTGCCGGAGCGCAAGAAGTTCCTCTGCACCGAAAATGGAGTACTGTAGAGATACTCCTTCCCCGCCCAGTAGGTATGCAAAATCAATTTTCGCACCCAAAATTAAAATTCTAATCTTCTCCATTTGTACCAGAGAATCGTCGCATCAAAGCATGTCGAGCTCCCACCGGCGTCTCCGCCGAGAGGAGGTGCACACGAGGCCACCTCCTCGCGCTGCCGGCCGCAGCTCGCTGCATCCCCTGGTCGTGGTTGCGGGACGGCCCCCAGGGCCCCGGCCAGCGCTCGGCTGCTCGGCTCGAAAGAAAGAAACCGAAAGAAGCGACGCTACACTGCCCCCACCCCCACCCTCCATCTCCGCCCTGCAGCATCCAAGCCGAGCCGGGCCGAGCCGGCCTCCAGCTCCGGAGCGGTCGGTCTGAGCCGAGCGGCGCAGCCGCCGAGCCCAGCCGAGCCGGGTGCCGGCACCTCAGCGCCAAACCATACACGCGCCTGGCAAAAACTCCAGTTTCGAAAAACAAGATATGCTGTGCCAAAAGAAAGAGCTTGAATATTTCATGAATTTTCATGAATTGCAGCCAAATTTCCATGAGTTTTACTGGCTGTTGAAGAATTCCTTGCCACCCACGCCTCATTTCGCGTAACAATTGTCATTTCTGACTCAGCCCTCATTTGCAAAGTACAGAGTCGCCATGTCGCCATCATAGTAACTCTGTGCCGAATTGGCGGTTCGTGACGAAAATCTTTTAATCATGCCGGCCTTATGCAGAGATATGAAAAACAGACGAAGACTTGTCGAGATCAACATCATCACGCATGCACAACTGCATGACGGTGATACGGAGATGTGTGGGAAACACACACAAGTAGCATCTACTTAACTGTGTCTCCACCGCCGCTGTGTGTGTTTGTGTGTGTGTGCGCGCGCATGGCATTATTCAAGACAAATGACGCGGCCCGTTTCCCGAGGCAATTAGCAAAGCCAACAGAGTAAAGCAACTGGCGCCGCAGTCATTTTATTTCTCCGTGTTTCGGAATTGAAACATTTTGAATCGTGATTTCATGCGCCGCAAGTCTCGTTGGGGGCGGTACTCTCCGTAGCATGACTCATGCCACCGCTCGCACGCACTGCGTTATTGCCCGCTCACAGAGAGGAGGAGGAGGAGAGAGAGAGAGAGAGAGAGAGAGAGAGAGAGAGAGAGAGAGAGAGAGAGAGAGACAAAAACTGTAGCGTGCGCGCGCAGCACAACTTTTCACTTCGATGACGTATGTAGTGCGGCGGAACGGATTACCATTATTAGAGGTATAATTATCTATTTATTTATTTTTCCAGCAGCAGGCAGCATACTTTACTGCGGCGGGCTGGGCGTTGCCTCGGCGTTGCCGGACGACGCGTTCTCGTAAATTGCCGGACTCCCAATTTGCCGAAGTTTCCGTTTTCCCCCAAAACACGGCGAGTTCGCGCAAGCAGAGAGATTACGCGAGCAACCAGTGTAGCCGGTCGTCCTGTTTGCTTTGCATTGCTTTGCATGGGGCCCTCGATGGGGCCCTGAGGGCTCATTCGGAACAGCGCTCTCGTGGCTCTGCCTCTCTCGCACCGCTGCGGAACGCTCGGTGAGCGCGAGAGAGGCAGAAACGACTGCGCGGCGTGAGCGTGTTGGCGGCCCTGGCGGAGCGCCTCATTTTGGCGCCAAAGTGTTTGACGGTCGGCTTGTCTCTCAGTGATTCAAACGGCGTTTTAAACCGGCCGTTGCCGCGCGGCCTATGCATACTCTATCCGGTCACGGCCGCGCGGTAAATCTCCTGGAAAGCCTTTTTCCCTTTCCTGGCCGTCCTGGCCGTCTCCCTGGCCGTCCCGGCTGCCCGCGGCGCGTGTCCCATTCCGGCCACGTGGTCGCGCCTGTTGCATTATGGGTAATCCGGCTCCGAAAGCGAAGCATGTGTGGCAGGGCAGCGCAGGTACCGTGAGCGTACGCCCCCGTCTCAGAAAAGAAGCCTTCCTTTTTGATTTTTCACCTTCTTTCTGTTTCAAAAAGGCGGTGCCTTGCACGGTGTTTCGATTCAAAGAGAGCATTTCCTCTGCCTAGAGCATTTCCTCCGCCAGAGACATTTCTTCTGCCAAGAGCATTTCACTGCCAAGAGCGTTTCCTCTGCTGAGATCATTTTTTTGCCAAGGCTCGCGGCCTAACGCGCACGATTCATTTGGCCGCCCTTTTGTCTGCTAACTAACCATCAGTTCTCACCTGCTCGCTGTTCTCACCTACTCCACCATACGGCCACCAAATTTTTCTCCCAGAGCTTTCACGTTCCCCTGCTAGGGTCGATCACCTTTTGGGTGCGGGTTATTCACACCCACTATTCCGTCTGTCTGTCTGTCTGTCTGTCTGTCTGTCTGTCTGTCTGTCTGTCTGTCTGTCTGTCTGTCTGTCTGTCTGTCGGTCAGTGTGTCTGTCTGTCCACCGCATTCAAACCGACACGCGCTTTACGCGGCACACGTGGAAACGACATCGACAACGGGAATTGATAATAGCGTAGAGACGCGCCCCAGCCATGCCTCTTTTCTCTCCGATTCCGGCACTCCGGCCGTGTCCGATACAGACGAAGGCCCGCGGCGTGCCGAGCCCAGCCCAGCGGTTCGGCGCAGCGGCGACTCTAGTGTGTCCCTTCCACTTACGCCATGTCGGGGAATCACTTTGCCAGCAGCTTGGCGTGGCAGCGCCGCTGCTACAGTGGGCCAGAAGACCGGTGGAGGCGGCCAAAACTCCAGATGCGTTTTGAGCTCCAGCGTCGCCAAACAGTACTCGAACCAAACGTGTGACCCCACCAATGGATTCCTCGTTCGAGGAGCAATCCATTGGTGGGGTCACACGTTCGGTTCGAGGTCTATTTAGCGACTCTGAAGCTCAAAACGCGTCTAGGGTTGTGACCGCCTCCACCGGTCCTCTGGCCCACTGTGCCGCGCCGCCGAGCCTCGCGTGCGCGCGCTGGCGTGCGTGTTGCGCGCTCTGCGTGCTCCTCGATACCGACAGCGACGACTACAACAAAATATGATGATGGCGGAGTGGAGTGTGCGGGGGGCGCGAAGAGTTTGAGCCAACACTTCGTGGAACGGCGCGGAGCCGCCCCCCTACCCTCCCCGCGCTTCCGCGGCCGCGGCGGTCCCTCCGGCCCTTGGGGAATGGCGGGGCCCTCGGCGGGGCCCTCGGCGGGGCCGGCCCGTCCCACCTACTAATCATTCGGACATAAAGAGGCTTGTTGGTCGGAAACGTTTCGGCGCCACAGGGCGTCGGCCGGCGTCGGCGCGGCACTGCGGCTCCGCGGCACACTGCAGACTGATTCCGAGAGTCGTCTTCGTCGCTCTGTCTCCCTCGCACCTGCATGGAGCGCCCCGTGAGTGGGGGAGAGACACCGCGACTCTCGGAATCAGTCTGCTGCGGCGCGGCGGCGCGGCGGCGCTCTCGGAGTCCGAGGCGTCGGTGTAGGGGCCGTTTAGGCGCACCTCATGGCTCTCCGCGCGCCCCGGCCCGGCAGCTCTGCCATGGCCGCCATGGGCCTCCATTGGCGGGGCCATCTCTGGAATCCGCCTCGGGACCACTCCCATGAATGATACGCGTGTCAGACCGCGCGGCCAGTTAACGCCACTCGCGGAGCCGAAATTTGAACCGTGGTGGCGCGGCGGGCTCTGTTTCCACGCCGAGTCGCTTATCTGACAACCTGACACCGTTCCAGAAAGGGAGACAGAAAAAAATAAAACAAGGAGAAGGCTGAACATGATCGCTATTCGTCGGAGTAATAGCGATCATTTTTAGATTTTCCTTTATTTTCTGTCTTTCTGGGATCCAAATTGCCCCCAAACTGTAGTGCAGCGCAGCGCACACAGTCTCGAGACGTGAGCTAATCAGATTGCTGGGTTGGCAGCGACGGCCAGCGCTGACAGTGAGGGCGTAAGTTGTGCTGTGCTGCCTGCTGCCGCTGGGGAGCGCGCCAGCCCCCCCCCCCCCGGCACGACACGGTGAGTCATCCAATTCAGGTTCAGGATTTGAGGCAACGTTTTGTTTCGGAGCACGAAGGCGTGGCGCGGTGCCGTCGTCAACGTGGTCCCAGACCAGCGCAGGCCCTTATCACCACACTCGCGGCCCGCCCACGCACCTGGCCGGCCAGGGCGCGGGTTCGAGCCCCCGTCAATCCAACCGCTTTTTATTACCATTTCCTTTCTCCGGGGCTGATTTGCAACTGGCGAGGCGTCGGGACGGCTCCGGCACTCCGTCCAGCCCGGCCGTCGGGCCGTGAATGTGAGATGGAGTGAAAGTGACCGGGGCGGTGCTGGCCGCGCGGCAAACTAATTCCGAGAGTCGTCGCTCTGTCTCTCTCGCACCCATACGGGACACCCCGTGAGTGCGAGAGAGACGGAGCGACGACTCTCGGACAGTGTGCTGGCGGTGTCCCTGCTCCGCCGGCCTCCGCGGAGGATGAAAAACTTACGACGGCAACCGCGCGTGTTTTATATGCACTCGCTCGGCTTGCTCCGCTTCCTCGCCGCCGCGCTGTCCCTC